CCACTGCCACTGCCACTGCCACTGCCACTGCCACTGCCGCTACCATCATCATCATCATCATCAATAATCAACCTATCGATGTAACACGATGTCCTATGCCCACGATCAGATGTCCAGACCCCCCAACCTTCCACCATCATCCCTACCTCACTACTACCACTATCACCACCACCACCATCTACGAGTGCCATCTTCTTCATTATCATCATCATTAACCTACATACTGTAATCAACTTACCGATTTGACTCTATGTCCTATACCCATGATCAGTTGTCCACACTTCCTCATGTCATTGACAAAGTCCATGGGAGTCTTGTTGTTATCGAACGCATTAGAAAACTGATTTGCAGCATTGTCAAGTGCACCACCAAAACGATCTCCCTGTTGAATGTCAGTCAGATAGCATACATAAATCACCATGGTTATGGTAAGGGTGGTAAGGCGTGTCAAGGTGGCAAAACGTTTGCCATTCACCAACAAAAAATATTTAACTTTTATTGATATTCTGAAAAAACAACCCCTGGGCTGGTGCAAATCAGGGCAAGGCTAACTTATAGATTGAACCTTGATAATACAACCTCTGGGCTGATCCAAGTCAGGGTACGGCTAACTTACAGATTAAACCCTAATACAACCTCTGGGATCATCACAATCAAGGCACGGCTAACTCACAGATCGAATTTGAATCTAACGTTTTATTTTTTGTGAAGGGAGGAAAACCGGAGAACCCAGAGGAAAACCCTCGAATCAATTGAGAAGACCTAACGACACTACTCACATGTGAAACCATTTCAGTGGATAAAGAGCCACTCTGTGGAAATGGCACTGTTCAATCTTATTTATTTATATTTTATTTATATCTTATATCATTAATTAGTCCTAATGCTACTCACTATGGTTAAGAGTCCTGATACAAGCGATGACACAAGATCTTTGCCAGCACGAGCAGTAACGATGGTATTATGTGCTCCAGACACAGCTACGATATAAATGACAATCAATATATGACAGGTAAGGTAAGGTAAATGCCAAACAAGCAGGAGTCCCTCTCCTGTTATGTGAAAGTGGGGAGCCTGGTACCCAGTCTGGAAATATATATGTGATGTCACACACTGTTGGAAAAGAAGACTATAAAATCATTAGTTCGTACCTGGGCCGTGGTCAGCGGTGATCATCAAACACATTTCAATGAAGGAACATGCGTAACTTGGCAACCTATAAAACAGATACACTGGTCATTCTCTTGACAAAAATAGAGAAAGAGTGAGTTTAAATTAGATAAGTTATCCATTATTTTAGTTGACGTCACACAAATTAAAAACTCACGTGCCAACGTTCTGAAAATCAGGGGTGAAAACCAAGATGTAATCGACTGTCTCTTCACACATTCTCTGGTAAAGTAAACCCCCGGATTCGCATGACCGTTGGTTTGGCGCGTACTTACTATTTTAGGGGATGTCAACTAAATAGTCATTATCTAAGTTAGAAACCATTTATCTAACTATTCAATTGTGTGACTAAAGGCACTCAGCAAACTTAAAATAGTGTTCAAATGCCACGAAGAATACTTTGAAATAAATGAAATATCGATGCTTTAAAAGAAGTTCCAAGTGAGTCAAGAGACAAAGACATGGCGGCCATTGTTAGCTATTGAAAAATTTATTGTCAAATAACACCAACATGGCGTGGATGACGTAATTAACGTGCAAATGAAGAATACCTCCTCTGGAACCACAGGAGGCCCAACACACCACCAACACCAAGCTCGTCCTGAAATTATAAAAAGAGTATTTTGTTTTATGGTGATGAAGAAAAGAAGAAAAGAAAAAAAGAAAAGGAAAGGAAAGGAAAAAAGGAACGACGAAAGTTTAGAATATTTACAAGAAAACAGCAATGAAAGACGCTAGAAAGACAAAAAAAGAATAAAGTTTGACCTTGAATATCTCTGTGATTGGCATCCCAGCGTACAGTAGTTCCGCTCCTCGTTCATCACAGATACTAGACATGAATGAAGATGGCTTACGTATCAAACCAAGCTCCTAAAGAAAAAACCGCCCACAAAAAATATCAATACGATACTGAATGAAGTAGACGTTTATACGACCAATAAATATCTCTGTGATACGAAATGAAGAAGGCATTTATATGATAAGCAAAAACGAAATGACGAAAAAACACCGGGAATAATCCACATATGAAGGTAAAAGTTCGATGGGAGGTTTGAGGATTGCTGACTAAGGTACTTTATGGGTTACCTGATAGTGGTTGGAGGGTATGGAATGAAGGAATGCTCAACAAGAAAGAGGTGCACAATAGAATGTATGGGTTACCTGTGCCCACTGATAGTCCATAGGAACTGTTGGTGGTTGGAGAGTATGGAAT